CTAAATGTATTCATAACTTCAATGCATGTTTATTAAGGACCTATGATATTATTTTCAGCAATGTCATTTTTTAAGAAAGATAATTCTTTAAATTAATCATGATTACTAGATAAAAATAACAGCTGAAAGTTATGTTATGCTTACAGTTTTCCAGAATTTAATTTCAAAGCCATACACAGCAGTTTCTATTATTAACCCTCTCTTAAAAGAGCTGACACTTTAAAAAGTACAAGCTAGAAGGACTTATTCCAGTATATCTTATTTTAAATACAAAATATAGTGAAGCACCAGAGCAGTGACATCGATGGTTCTTTGGGATTCAAGGGAAATTTAACAAGAAATATATTATTTGAAATGAAATATGAAGAAAAAAAAAGAAGAGAAGACAGAGCAAAGTGAGGTTATTTCAGTGACTGTCAGGAACTACCCTGTGAAAAACCCTTGAATGTATCATAGACTCACGACAAGATGTGTAAACATGAAGAGTGATGAGGTGAGGTGTGCATCTAGAAGCCATTCTTTAAACGACTTGTTTACTCTGCAAGTGATTTAAATTTGCACCATGGAGTTATTAGCCACCTTTGAGAAGGGAAGTTATATTGTTCGGATTGTATTGTCAGGGTTGGGGATATATTGGAGAGGACTGAACTCACAGGAAATTAATACAGAAGATGGGCTATGGCAATAGTTCAAGCAAAATTTAATGCATGCCAGAATGAGGAGATGGATTATGAAAATGGAAAAAAGAGATACAGATTCAAGAGATGTTAAGACAGATGAAAATGATGATGATAGACTGGATATGGGTGAAGCAGAAAAATTGGGAAAGAGTATAAAAGATAATAGGAAACCAGGAGGACTCTACTTTTTATGACTTAGAAAACTGAAGTGACGAAATGATCATTCTCCAAGAAATGATACACAGGACTGGCCTTGTGTTTAGGGAATGTTTGGTGACATTAGCCTCGGACATGTTGAATTAGTAATGTCTGTGGGATGTGCCAGTGGAAAGGTCTGGTAAGTAAAAGGATATATGAGTCTGGAACTCAGGAGAATCTTTCCTATAAGTTAAAAATATATTTAATATCTGTTACATACTTCTTAGGCATAGGTCATGTGTAGCTCTAGTAACAATATATATAGCGCTAAGGAAAAAAAAAATTAGGACGGAGAGAAATGGAAGTTTGACTATGGCCCCAAAGTAAATGGTGTTTCAAAATTCAGGCCAGGAGTGAAGTTTGATAATTACATGGTTACAGTGCATATAGCTGGTAAGAGTTGTAAGTTGAGGACTAAAAAGTGAAACCATACTGGGTTTAGCAACATAGAAGTCAGTAATGAAATTAAGAAGAACAATTTAATTTTAACAGACAAGAAGAATGTCAGCTTACTGAGTTGAGGATTGATTGAGCATTGAAAAAACTGAAAAGGTGAGTGTATTGTTCTTTTTAGGCATTTAGATTGATTAAAAATATGGGTTATGTTGGCCAGGCTGACAAGATGGTGAGCAATCAGACTTTTCAATTCTTTCCATAAAACCCATCTCAGGAGAAACAAAAGAAATGAGAGGAAAATATATAAATCAGGAAAACCAATGTTAAAAACTGTGGGAGTCCTGCAAAGATAGATAAATTTGCAAACTGCTGTGAAGAAGAATTGGCAGTCTGGGATGGAGAAGGCCGAACGCCATGTTCAAAAGATGAGGTGGAGGAGAGCTTTTGGAGTTTGCTCATTTCTCTTCCATGAAAATAAAAAGAAACCAATATCATTACCTTCAGAGAACAAAACTGAAAACCAGAAAAAGAATGCACTCACATTGATATTGGATTGGTTAATAGTAACACTGGGGACAAAAAGACCAGGAAATAATGTAGTTGAAATGTTGAAAAAAATTATAACAAAAATAAAATTTTAATGTGAGAGTGAAAAATAGATGCTTTATTCATGTCAAACCTCAGAAAGTTCATCATATAAAAATCATACTTTAGAAAGACCCTTGAAGAGCATACCACTCAAGAAGAAATTTTGGTAAGGGAGGCATAGTTTTATTTATATATATATGTACATTTATATATATATATATATACATATACACATATACATGTGCATATATATACATATGGAAGCAATGTAAAGAGCATAATTTAGTATACTCTCTTATTTTCTTTCAAACCAAGAGATAAAAAGATATACTTCTTGATATAATAAAGTGCAGAAGTGAAACACTGAACTAATGATTCCAACTTTTTAAAAACCGTGATTGTAATATACATGTACAAATACATACTTTCTACATTTTTCTATATTCAGTGTTTATATGGTGAATATGAGTGTGCGCATGTGTATATGTATATAACCAAATACATTTTCACAGATTTTCAAGGTGTGTGAATATTAATTTTTTTTTTCCTGTGTGTTTCTTTTTTAATGGTTGCAACCCTCTGAATTGATTTCTCAAACGATGATGGACTATGGCAAACAACTTTGGTGATTGGAAAACAGAGGAAATTAATTGTATTATGGCATGAAGTTGTCTTATTTGAAGGGAGGTTATGGATATCATCCATTATAGAGGCTAAAATGCTTATTAAGATTTTATAAGTTAGTGATTAATACCAAAAGAATGCAAGGATAAGATAATTGAGAAGAACAGAAGGCATAAAAGGCAAAAAAAAGCAATATGTAGATTATAAATGATAAACTTAAAAATTAAAAATTAAAAAATCAGCAAGATTTTTTTCTTTTAATATTGGTGGTCTACATGATTTGAAACAAACTTCCCTCCAAAGATATTTTTTAAAGTTAATAAAAACAGACACATCTTAGTAGCATGAAAGATTCGAAAACAACGGTGAGGGATTACTGTTTCAAGGGCCTGAACTCCTACCCATGAAATTGAGCAGGGTCTAGACCCAAGACATTTGTCTGCTTGCAAAGGGGCAGGGCTGAAAGAAGTCTATAACCAAGTCTAACAACAGGAATCAGATTCTTGAGAACACCAGGGCTGAAGGCCTTAAAGAATCACCCCCACACTCTACATTTACCCCATTGCTTTAGGCCTTGGCCAAAGAAGAAAGCAGTCATTTTCAGTTGACTCTGGCAGCAAGAGGACTGGGGTGGGACTGCAGGGCCAATCAAAAGTGAACACCTGCTGTGGGCAGAGCTCCTGAAGAGCTAAACTTGGGAGTCACATTAGAGATTCGACTCTGTTAGGTCACAAACTATTTATATTATCACGAGAGACAAAAAGATGGAGAACTGTTCTAGATAAAAGAAGCCAAAAAGTCAGGTAACCTAAGTGCAAAGGTGATTTCTGATTGCATTCTGGATTGTTTTTAAAGACTATAATGCAAATTATAAGGGCAATTGTTAGACTTGGTTATGAACTATATATTAGAAAAGAGTACTATATTAATGTTACATTTTCTGAATCTGGTAAATTATATTGTGTTTATATCAGAGAATGTGTTTATGTGTTTTACTTAGGACATACTAAATGTTTAGGTGTAAAGTGTCATTGTGTCTGTATATATTTTTCAAATGCTTCAGCAAAAAAGGTATGTGTGTAAGTGTGCATGATAGCACAGATACGGCAAAATGTAATGAATTAATCAATCTAGATGATGATTATATAGGGTTCATTGAACATTGCATCTTTTTTGTATATTTGACATTTTCAAAATAAATCATTGATGAGGAAAATCATCATCATAGATATTTTCAGTATTTTACACATATTATTTTATTTAATCCTCATAACAACTTGTGCAATTTCCCTTAGAAGTTATACAACCACAGTACCATGTTATTTTGAATTTTGACATTTTCAGATTAAGCTATTGGATCATCCAGTTGAAGATGTTCAGCAACAACTCTGTGAAATGAAAAGGTCCACACATCCTTTTTAGTTAGCTTGCTGTCTGTGACATTAATAAGTCATGATATCAAGTCCAAAAAAATCACAATATATTTCTCATTGTCCTAAACACTGTAGAGATTCTTTTTGTCATTGAAGATTATTTCCTTGTAAAGTAAATACAAATCTAATTCTTAAATCCTATTAGTTTATATTAAACAAAATATGTCAGAGGTTAAAGGCAGTTATAAAGGGATGTAAAACAATATTTTAAATTATATAAAGGAAGAAATTTAAATGAAGTAATTATTCCCAAAATCTTATACATTGGCACAGAGACTTGGTGTTGTCTGTTTTTATCATTGACCTTTCCTTTTAAAGTTAAAAATGAATCTCCTAATTTCATGAGGAAATAGTATTAGACTTAAGAAATAATTTAGTGAAGGATTTTGAACTCTTTCTGCATTAACAAATGAAACTGAAAATGAAAGTAATACTAAAAATTCAAACATGCTCTACTTATTGGATAAATGTGGATATAAGTCACAAGCTAAAGCAACCATATTAACATTAAGTCTTCAGAATGAGCCACAGGAAAATAAACAGGAAATAATAACCCACCAGTGATTAAACAATAGTTGTTAAAAGGTCTTAAGAATGCTTTTCTCTTCTCTTCTTAGTATTGCCATCGATTATATTCAGATGCATATGACTGATCAGTCATTGTCGCTTTCAATCACAAGATGCTGGATCCTTAGAGTCTATTGTTTCTGGTGTATTGGTTGAGAAAAGGCTGTATGCTGCAATGAATAAGATATGGTAAGTGGACCTAGTGAAAGTTTCCTTCTCACCCATGCAATGGTCCAAGGTGGAATTCAATGGGTGATACCAAACAGGGGTTCATGACTCTGACCTCCTTCCATTTTGTGCCCTTCCAGTTAGCCAACTGGAAGAGAGGGTGGAGAAGGCACACATGGTTTATACTAATTTCATTGGTAAGAACTAGTCACCTGCTACATTTACTTGCAAGGGTTACCATAAAATGTAAAATTGGAGTTCAAAAGTATCTCTGGCAAATAAACAAAACCTATTCTAATAGAGCTCAGAATAGTAGTTGCCTGGATGGGGTGAGGGGTGAGGGTGGGAAGAGGAAAATAAAGATGTCTGGAAAGAGCCACTTGGTTCCAGAGAGTTTTCTGAAAATGCTCCATAACCTAATGGAGTGGTGGTTATACAGGTGTACTCAACTGCCAAAACTCACCTAGCCATACTCTGAAAACATGTGCATTTCGTGGTATGTGTTATTGCTGAACAGATGCTATAAACTTCTAAATGGAAAGGGATATTCAAGGTCAAAGGGTTAAATAACAAATTACCTACAGCTTCATTAGTGTACCCTGTTAGTCAAAGGCTGCCACGATTAAAGGGAAGGGCAGAGATTCCAATTAGTAAATGGAGAAATGTCAAAGGATTTGGGAATCATGTTTTGAAATCACTGCATGGAGTCCTTTGACCAATTATAATTTACATTCCTCTCATATGCAGGATGCCCAGTCTCCCCATACACACACACACACATGCACACACACACATAGACACACACTCCCATAGTCTCAGCTTGTTAAAGCATTAACTCAAAGTCTGGAAATCTCACCATTTTACCTCTGGAATAAAATTTCTGTAGCAGCTACTACTGCTGGGTAACAATTACTTCACTTTTAACAAGAGTTAAAATCAAGCATTTTATTATTCTTGCAGAAGTGGTGGATCAGGACTTCATAAAGAGGATACAGGGGATGGCTACGCTCACCTGAGACAGCTGACAAGAGCACCAACACATCGCATCACGCTGCAGCTTGGCTTCCTCACAGCAAGGTGGCTACCAGGTAGTCAGGTAGCCTTTGTGGCAACCGAGGGCTGCAAGTGTGGGTGCTTTGGTGACACCTCGCCTTTTGGTCCAGCCTCCGAGGACTCAGTGCACACCTTCTGATCCAGATGCAAAGAATCAGAATTACAGCAGTGTCAAAGAATTTGAGAGCCATGTTATAAAACAGATAAAAAAGAGATTGTGATTGGGGATAGGGGATTTTTTTTTTTTAAAAAAAAGGAGAGGACTAAATTTCTATCTCCCTGAGATGCCTACCATAATCTAATAAGATATTACTTACATGTCTCTATGTGTCAAGATTTGCTTTCAGTTTTTTAAGCTGGAGGTAACTTCAACACCAGAAGCAATTTATCTTGCATATTACAGGTCTTAAGCTGTGATGCTTTTCCATCGCTCTCTTTCAAGAATTTTCGTGTGCTCTGGGAGCAAGCCTCCAGACTGGAGACAGATGGAAAACTACTCAGGCCATCGGAAAGTACTCAGCGCTCTGGGAGCGGTTACCAAGGAGCAAACTGGCTTGTGGAAGAATCCGTCTCAGTCCAGTATTTTATTCTCAAAACAGTCTTATCAAAGAAGCAGGAGAACTATTGTTGTTCCCATTTTGTGCTGGGCGATGAGGTCCTGGGAGGTGAGAAAATGCAGGGCGATGTTCAGGAGCTGGAGTTTTGGTTGTCTTATAGGACCTTGGCACCAGCCTTGAGAACATTGATACTGAAAACCTGAAAGTGCCCTTTGTATGTGTGGTTCTTTAATGTGAATTTAATTACCTGTGTTGTTAATGAATATCATAACACTAAACATATTTATGGTAATTATGGGTCACTAGTGACGGAGAGAATCTTCTTTCCTTGGAATTTCTAGCATCCGTGCCTAATCTCCTTCCGTATCGTTGTCTGCTATGGCAACCTTGGTTCCAGCACCGGTACGCCCTGAAATAAAATGAATTCTGACCTATTGTTCCTAGTTAGATCACTTACTTATCTAACCCGCTCAGTTAGCCACCTGTTGCTTCCTGATAAAAAAGCCTCAAACAACCTCAATCCTTCCGGCATCTCCAAGTGAGCAAAGATCAGAATAATGGATATTAAAGACCTTTCAGAGTAGATAAATAAAAAGACGCAGTTATTTGACCAAAGCCCATGAAGGGCAATCTTCTGATAAGATCCATTAGTTTATTTTCAGTAAAAAAAATAGTTACCATAGAAACGCATTATGACGATATATATTCTCATTTACTGTGGAAACGTAGATTAGAGTCACCTTGAAAGGTTGAAACTCAGGCTTTTGTAAGAGCTGTTCACATTTTCCATACTCTGAGATAACATATTTAAAATACATTTCTATATTTCCCTTCTATTTTTATGTGAGTTCAATTAAATAAAAAAAACTGAAATTATGAAAATAATACCAGATTAAGACCAAGGTCAGGGGCATGTTATCAGAGAGGAACCCACTGAACTTCAAAAGTGTAAGAGTTTTTTTAAATGTCACTTTGAGTACATTAACTCTATTAGGAAGCACAGCTTGTCCCCATATTTCATCGCCATTGGCAGTTTATAAATACAGTCATTTCATGGTTACATATTTAAGTGTTCTACTATTGAATTTCTTTTATTTTCCTCCATAGCTTATGGCCAATATTTTAATTGATGCCCATTTTTAATACTTCGGTACTATCTAGGTGGTCCTTTTCTGTATTACTGATATGAATGACTCTGCGAAAATACAGTTCCATATACTTTAGACATATACTCTTCTGAGGCTTTATTGAAATCTAAAGTGCCAGCAATTGAGTTTTTGTCCCAGAACCAAACGCTTACTGGTGAATTAGAATAGACCATGTCACATCTCAGTTTTCTATATGTGGTGACCACAAATATAAACTTATAGATGAATGATATTTCTGAAATTTTTTTTAGGGGGCAAGTCTGGCAAATCCCATTCTCATACTACAAGCTTTGTGCTCATTTGCTTAGCATTTTGTGGCTTCTTCTAGCTTAGGAACAAATCTCTGTGTTCTATTCTTCCTATAAGGTTGCTTGCAGATTATTTAATTCCTTGTATTGGGCCCAAATGTACATTTCTTTCATCTTTTGTCATTCCCCTAGTGACATTTTAAAGGCAATGCTTTGAGACAAACTGGTAATAAAAAATCCAAGAGGATCTAACTGTCATTTCACTGGATGTCTACAAGTTTCCTTCTTTTCAAATGCAGAACCAGAGTTTACAGACAAATTCAGGGTTAACCTTGAGGATTCTCAAAATATTTTTTTCCTCAATTAAATAATTAGTTCTCATCATCAGCAGCCCATGCTATTATGTTCTGTATACAAGACATTAGACATTAGTAGAAGGTTAAAACACAGAGAGAAACAGTGCATAGTTTATCTGCTCTCACTGAGTCACCATTTCCTAAAATTCATTCTTCAAATAGCACATCACTATCAACTTTCACCTCAAACTCTTTCATTTAATTTTAAACACTTCTAGTAGAAAGAAAATTGTAGGAACCCAGTTAGTGGAAAATCATTTCCGGTTATATTTCTGAAAACAGGCAAAAATAATACTTTCCTAAATGTATAGACACATTACTGGATAGGAAGAGTGAATAAGGAAGATAGTGCAGCTTACTTTAACGCACACATTCTCCTGTAACTTAGAAAAAGATAAATCCAGGCTCAAAATCAAGATAAACATCTTGAGAGACTGAAACCTGAAGTTGTGATCAGGACTAAGGATACTATAATTTGCAAAAGGCAGTGGGGACCAGGGTTTCAGCTCCTCTGATCTACTGAGGAAGAAAAGTACTTCTTATGAGATTGGTGACTTAACCAAAAGACAAAATTTGGAGGAAAGGCTGAAAAAAGTCTCCTCTTAATAAAGTCTGACGACAGGGCCTAGAGCACCTTGTGATGGAAGAAGATGAGAGGACAAAGATAGAGTCTGGAACATGAGATCTCAACTAAGACATATATTAATCAGGATTCTCCAGAGAAACAGACTAGTAGGAGCAAAGAGATTTCAAAGAATTGACGTGTGCCACAGTAGGAGTTGGCAGGTCCAAAATGTGTAAAATAGACTGGAAGCCTGGAAATACTGAAGAGCCAATGCTGCAATCATTTCTTCTTTCTCTGGGATAACTAAGTTTTGTTTTTAAGTACTTTCAGCTGGTTGAATAAGGTCCACACACATTATCAAGAAGTATTCCCTTTACTTAAGATTGTCTGATCGTACAATTTATCCACATTTATAAAATATTTCAAGAGTAGTACCTAGACCTGTGTTTGATTGAATAACAGCACAGAAGTCTAATTAAGTTGACATATACAGCCAAGCATCATAGATCATCTTGGTGTCTTTGACTACATCAGTATTATGCAAAATATCTTGGACAAAGAGCCACAAATTGCCAATTGAAAAAAAATAACTGGCTGAAAGATAAATAAAGTAATTTATTGGTTTAAATTAAATAATTTGATTTCATCAAATAAGTTGAATAAATAGTTTTAAAATATTTTAAATATAAGAATATCTGGCTCCAATATTTATAAGGTGGTTGTAAATACATGATTTTAATCTTACACAAACTTATTGAGAAAATGAAAAAGGAGAGTGTATAATCAAACACATGTTAAAAGGCCTGACACCAAAAATAAACTTTACACCAGATTCCAAAGAATTTATAATCAGTATAATCTGGGTGTATGCCAGGAAGGCAAAATGCAATTTTGATTCAAATTTAGAGACTTTCTCAGTATTTACCATATTAGCCAATTAAAGGTAAAATACTATATGATGTTTTCCATAAATGAAAAGGAAAACCACTTGAGAAAAATCTCAACCCATTGTTAATAAATTATATTAGCAACTAAGGAATTGATGGATATCATATTAACTTGATTAAGGGGAACTAGAAAAATCTCTAGGAAACATCATACTTAATGATGAAATGTTAGAAAAATTTCCTCTAAAATCAAGAACAGAATACACTCATGATTATTGAACTGGAATCCCTTAGCTAGTTCTGTAAGACAAGAAGAAGAAAAAAAGTTAATCAAACAGAAATGCTCACATCTCTTAGTTATCCCCAGATGATATGTTTGATTATGTACAGTGCTCAAAATGGGTGTGCGTAGATTATTCAAATTACTCAGAGGATATTTTGCAATAATTTGAGAAATCAATTGCATATTTACTAGTAAATAAAAAGTAGAAAGGTAAACACAGAAATATTTCACTTTTTGATTACTGGGGAAGAAGGTGGGAAGGGATAAACTGGGAATTCGAGACTTGCAGATACTAACTAATATATAAAAAATAGATAAACAACGAATTTATACTGTATAGCACAGGGAACTATATTCAATGTCTTCCAGTAACTTATGGTAAAAAAATAACATGAAAATGAATATATGTGTGTTCCTATATGACTGAAGCAGTGACCAGAAATTGACATAACATTGTAAACTGACTATACTTCAATAAAAATATTTTTTAAAATGTCATTCATATTGAAACAAAGATATAAGGTATCTATGAATAGGTCTGAGAGAAATTGGGCAACATATTTAGGAGAAAATGATAAGATACTATATTTCACATTAAATCAGACCTAAACTTCAATATGTGCCATAGACAGGGAGATTCTGTATGGTGGAGATATAAATTCTATTACTTTGTTCTGTCCAGTTAATACAATTCTATTCAAAATCCA